ATTCCCTAAATTAATGCTCTTATATGAGATTTCCATATTTAAATATGCCAAATTAGGGTGCTCTTTAGATCTAAATATGACAATCCCACATAGGGATATCAAATAGAGGAGTTATCTGCTAAACAAAGATCGAAGTTTAGAGGTGTCAGCCAGCGCAGAACAGTAAATCTGGGTGGCTAGTATGACTTCTATGCAAATGTGTTGTCTGATTGTGTGTATATATTTGTGTATGTGTATATGTGCATTAGTGATGTACCGAACGGTTCGCCGGCGAACGGTTCCTGGCGAACATAGCATGTTCGCGTTCGCCACGGCGGGCGAACATATGCGCGGTTCGACCCGCCCCCTATTCGTCATCATTGAGTAAACTTTGACCCTGTACCTCACAGTCAGCAGACACATTCCAGCCAATTAGCAGCACAGCCTCCCTAGCAGACCCTCCCACCTACTGGACAGCATCCATTTTAGATTCATTCTCAAGCTGCATGCTTAGTAAGAGGAGGGAAAGTGTAGCTGCTGTTCATAAGATAGGGAAAAGCATAGCTAGGTTAGGGATAAGGTATGTTTTTTGGATTTTTTTTTCTATGTAATGTAAATGCACTTAGTTGTTCTGCCACTGCTGCCAGCTTCTGTCAAAGTGTTTCTTTAGCAGTGCCACCAATTACATCCTGGTGTCACAATAGCTTGGATTTAAAAACAAAAAACTTTTTCACTGTTATAGATTGAATAGCAGTCAGTTGTCTGCCACTGCTGCCAGCTTCTGTGTCAGGCTCACAGTGCATACTGTGCCTTTTTCAGTCAGTGCCACCAAATACATCTGGTGCACAATAGCTTGGATTTAAAAACAAAAAACTTTTTTCACTGTTATAGATTGAATAGCAGTCAGTTGTTTGCCACTGCTGCCAGCTTCTGTGTCAGGCTCACAGTGCATACTGTGCCCATTTCCCCAGTCAGTGCCACCAATTACATCTGGTGTCACAATAGCTTGGATTTAAAAACAAAAAACTTGGGGGCGTGGCCTGGCTACTCACGAGAATGGACGCGTGAGAGATCAGCTCCGACGGGGGTAGCACACAATAGCAGCGATTATCCTATCATACCCGACAAAAAAACCTGCACACACCAGCACAAGTGAGACCTGCACCGACTATGTCCATACGCACAGCGAAAAAAGCGAAACTCCGACCAGCGGAGCTGCAAATAGCGGCACTTACACCGCCGCGAGGGAAACCTCAAAATGGCGCCGAAGGCCCTAACTCACCCACTGCCTACTCAGAACGGAGTGACAGCACCTCAATATCCATAGAGCCCACCATACCGGCCTCAGAGACGGCAATGCAGAGAATGATGCAAGAACTGCAAAATAACTTGCAAGCTGAATTTTCCAAACTTGCCAGAGACGTCCGCACGGATATTAAAGCGATATGTGAGCGCACTGCACAACTGGAAGAAAAGACGGACGAAATAATAGCAGCACACAATAATCTTGCCTCAGGATATGATTCATTCGACGCAAGACTGAATGCACTTGCAGCAAAAATGGCGGATCATGAGGACCGCGACAGGCGAAATAATATCCGCCTGCGCGGTATTCCTGAGGACGTTAAACCCGTTGAGCTTCAAGATTATACCACGGAGCTATTCAAAGCTTTGTGTCCTGAGCTAAAGGCTGAAGAACTACATCTAGATAGAATACATCGACTACCGCGCCCTAAATTTCTTGCTCCCACAGCTCCACGAGATGTGTTGACGCGGGTTCATTATTTTGCAGCCAAGGAAAAAATCATGAGAACAGCTAGAAACCCAAGCAAAATGCCGGAAAAATTCACAGGTATCCAGCTCTTTACAGATCTATCAGCGGCTACACTAGCGAAGCGCAAGGAGTTCATGTCTTTCACAACAGCTCTACGAAACGCAGAGATCCAATATAAATGGGGATACCCCACTCGCCTCATAATAAGGAGAAATGGAGTGGAACATCAAGTTCACACAGAACTTGAGGGTCTACGTCTTCTTAAAGAATGGAATCTCCCTATACCCACACAAGGCGGACGTGCTGAAGATGGGACCCACCGACAATCTTCAAAGATGGTGACCAAAGATTGGCTTACGGCATCCAAATACAAGTGAAGGACATTTCCCTGTCCATTTAAGCATAGCAGAACTATACTCTTGCACACTTCGCCTGACGACACGTGAGCATTTCTCACTGCTTGAAGGCAGTCCATATGCATGAGAATCGTGTTACTTTATTTAGTTGTCTCATTTATGTATGTTTTGGTTACGTTTATATTGTTGATGCTATAATGATTATTAGAACAGTTGCTCCAGATTTAGGAACAAAGCGGGCCAGAATCAGAAGGGTAAAATACACACGCACATGACTACCCTCCCCCCATTCAGGCTCTAAAGGGCCACGAAATTCTACCAGACGGCAGATACCTCAAATCTGCAAGTCACACTGTACATAGTTGCCCTCGGGCACTTAATTACCCTATACCCTTCTTTTCCTTCCCCAATTCCCTCGAGGTATCTCACAGTAACTTGGAATGTTCAAGTTGGTAGACTAATCGCACAAGAAGAATACAATAACCGAATATATCGAACACATAAGAGTTATGCACGACATATTCATATTCACATTACGGTGCCACAGGGAAAAATTCACATAGAATCTGATCTTGAGAATCTCTACAATTTAATAAGACATGAAAGAACTTCGACTGCCTGGGCACCGCTTAAACAAGCCACCATCAGGTTATTGCTCCACATTCTCCAACAATGCTCCAAAGTGTATCTAGCACCCTATGAGACACACCAAAGATGACTCTTAAAATATTATCACTAAATGTTAAAGGTCTTAACTCCCCTCACAAAAGGAGACTCGCACTAACCGAAGCCACTAAACTTAAAGCCCAAATTGCTTTTTTCCAAGAAACCCACTTCCTTCACACTAATATGCCCAAACTCACTTCGAAACAATTTCCCTTAGGGTTCCATGCAGGATATACCAAAAAAAAAAGAGGCGTATCTATATTGATACATAAGGATGTTAACTTCAAACTCTGCAGGAAAGTTAGAGACAAAGAAGGCAGGTTCCTTCTACTTCATTGCACTATAAATGAGGACCCATTCACACTAGTGAATGTATATGGCCCACATGAAAACCAAAAAGACTTTGTATCCAAAATTATATCCTTGGCCCACAAATTCCCTTGTAACAACTTGATCATTGGGGGTGACACCAATTTTATACTTGATAGCGCAGCCGACACAACTTCCACACATACAGTAAATCGCTCAACCTCACGAAAACGCACCCATATT